AATAGAGAAAATATGAGCAGTTCTTTTTCATCCTGATAATCAACTATCAGTTGGTTGGTTAAGAGCTAGAACATTAAGATTTTTGTTTTGTTTTGTTTTTAAGTACATCTGAACTGGTTTCATAGGAATATAGCTCACTATCGGGTTCCTGCTTTGCATGTACAAGGCCCTGGGTTCAACCCCCAGTACTCAAAAAACACAAACCTATGTGTATTGACAAAAATTTTTCTCTCTTATGAATAATTACTTTACAAAACAGTGTGAAGTTTCTCATAATATGTAAGGGGTGGAGCTCTTTAGAGAAAAGGTTTTGCTGTGTAGACCAGGCTGGCCTTATGCTCATAGCAATCCTCCTGCTTCAGCCTCCTGAGTGCTGGTGTTACAGTTGTGCACCACCATGCCCAGTTTGCTATATGAATTATTAACACTTTTTCATCTAGAATTTAAAAGGACTTAAGGAAAATGTTTTAATAATAAAAGAGAGAGTGTGTGTGTATGTGTGTGTGTGTGTGTGTGTGTGTGTGAGTGTGTTTTGCTGGTGATCAAACCCAGGGCCTTGTTTATGCTGGGAAAACACTCTACTGTATCCCTTGCCCTAAAATAACTTTTTATGATAGATTTCCTAAAATTTTTAAATTAACATTTTTTACCAATAAAAATGTTTAATCTGTTGGGGGTACATGAGACTGGAGAATATTTTCAAATGAAAGTTTTACTATGTAGACCACTTTTTTTCTTACTATTGTTTGTTTTTGATTCTTTTCGCTTTGAGGGGTTTATGGTACTAAAAATTGAACATAAGACCTTCATGTTGAAGTAGATTCTAGCAGCCAGGAGCCAGCTTGCTCACTGGCCCTGTCTCTGCCCATATACATGTTCAGGGCCCTGATTTGTCCTGTGATAGCAGGGACCGGGGGGATGGCTCAGTAGGATAAGTGCTTGTCTGTCATGTGATGGCAGATATGGAACTTTCCATTTGTGGGATTATGCTGATTCTCAAAAAGTTTTGAATTTTGTTTTTTTTTTTTTTCTTTGAGGAACCAGGGATTGAACGCAGGCCCTTGCACTTGCCAGGGAAACTATTATTCCACTGAGCCATCTCCCCAGCCTCTAGTTTTGGATTTTGAAACATTTCAGATTGAGATTTTTTTTATCCTGAGGAAGTTCAACATGTATAATAATGTATAGTCCCAAGATTGCAATTGTGATTTCTTTTTTCTTTCTTTAAAAAAAAAAATTAAAAAAAAAAAAAACTTAGGGTACCCTGTTATCTTTCTGAGTTCAATCCCTGGTACTGCAAAAAAAAAAAACCAAAAAACCCTTAGGTCCCCTGTTTTCTTAATGTTCACTGAAACATTTTCCTATTCTGCTTTTGTAGATTATGTAATTCAGAGTGTTTACTTGTCCCTAAATTGTCTCCTCAGGCTAGATAGCTGGCCAGTCTAAGTGTCTGCCTGGCAAGTGCAAAGACCCAGATTTGATCCCCAGTACCCTGTCCCATGCTGGCCAGGAGCCCCGAGCATGCTGAACAGACCATAGAGACTGGGCATGGTGGTACATGCATATAATCCCAGCACTGGGGAGACTGAGACAGATGGATCAATGAGTTCGAGCTGCATAGCAAGACCCTGTACTAAATAAGTAATAAATGTTTCAAAAAACATTTATTTATAAATAAATAAATTGTCTCTCTGTTCAAACACAGAAAATATACAGTGGAGTAGTTCAGAAACATTTAGTTTGCTAATCCTAGGAGGGAAAGAGTGGTTTTTTTTTTTTTGGTTTTTTTTTTTTTTTTGCTGAACCGGGGACTGAACTCAGGCCCTTGCGCTTGCCAGAGAAGCACTTATTCCACTGAGCCATCTCTCTGGCCCTCCCAAGAGTGGGGTTTTTACAAATAAAATAATTATGTTAACTTTCATACAAGTTGGGTTTTTTTTTTGTTTGTTTGTTTGTTTTTTTTTAATGTATTTGGTACCGGGTCTCACTGTGCAGCTTGGACACATAGTGATCCTCCTGTGTCAGCCTCCCCAGCACTGGGATTCCAGGCATGCACCACCTTGCCCAGACTCTGTGGTGGCTCAGCATGCCCGGGGGCAGGGCCAGCGCAGTATGTGGTGCTGGGGATGGAACCCCATCCCTGTGCTTGCCTAAGCAAGCGCTTACTCCGCTAAGCTCTTGCCCACCCAATTATGTTAACTTTTATTAACCTAAGAGTTCATGACCTTAATTTTCATTAACATAAATCAACCTCTGAGATCTGATTTTATTTTTAAAAAATTAAATACATTGAAAACTAGTTTCCTAGTTTTAGCTTGTAACTCCTCTGGGTACTATACCCTTAAAGTAGTTTGCTGTGAATCACCAAGGGATTTTTTTTTGCTTGTCAGAGAAAAATGAGGTCTTAAAATACCATTAGTGTATGCTCAAATGTATAAAAACAGTTTTATACAGGTTGACATTTTAGGGATCAGGTCTGGGTGTTGTTTTGTTTTTTAACTTACCTGGATGCTTCAGTAACAGCTCTAGAGGGTGTGGCATGGGATACAGTATCTTCCCCACACACTTGTTATCTCACCTTTCTGAGCTTCGGTATCATGTGATAAATGTAGGTAATAGTGACAACACATTCATAGGATTACGACTTAACAAAATGACTGGTGTAAAATGTTTCTCATAAAAAAAATAAATAAAAAAAATGTTTCTCATGGTGCCTGTCACGTAATAGATGTTTAGTACTTAATACCAATATGTATAGAGAAAACCCAGGAGCTTTTACACAAAACACATTGTGCGTACCTGTTTGTGCACTGCAGATTATACCAATCAGTATCCAATTATTAGTGCTAACAGAATTTCTGTTTTCTTAGGATTTTCAGCTGATCACATAAACAATAGTGCTTACTGTTCATTGTGTAAATCACATAATCATGTATTCAGAGAAATCAAAAAACTTTTCAAACTCAGTTTTATTTGTGAATGATTTAGGCACGTGCTCCACCACTGAGCTATACCTTATCCCTAAGACATCTTTTCAAGTATTTTGAAAGGTGGGAATGTAACTCAGTAGTGGAACATTTGCGTAGCAGATGCTAGGCCCTGCAGTTGCCACATCTAGTAGACCGTCAGTCTTGCTTTCTGAGACATTAGTGTACATTTTGTTTTCTTATTGAAATCCTCCACATTTGGCTTTGAGCTATAATTTCTCATTTTCCTATCTCTGGCTTTTTTATTGTTCATGCTTTTATTTGTGGCATTCTCTAGGATTCTTTCATCTGTCTCAGGTAATCACTTCTACATTCTATCATAATGTTGTTATTACTTCCAAATAATTGATTGCCTTCACCTTCTCCCTCTTTTGAGGTTCCTTTTTTCCAGTTAGTTTCTCCCTATCTGATCTGCCCGCATGGCTACCCTTTCCCCACATCTGTCTGATACTGCTACACTATGAGATGTTCTGCATACCTGCATATAATGGCCTTCCTTCATATTTGAGAACTTTGACTCCTCCTTGTTCAGGTATGACCCTTCTTGATCTGGGTACTTGTGTCATTAGAAATTTCTCTCCAGCCCCATCTTTTAGGAGTTCCTCCCTTACATTCTGCATCCCATGGTTACTGACTTCCTATGGTTTTTTTTGTGAACACTAAGAGGTGATTCTCACTTCCCTCTGTGCCTTGGCATATTTTTATTTTCCTTAAATATGTGCCCCTTCTTAACTACTTCTCACCCTCCCACACACAGCATATAGTAGTTCTGTTCTTCCTCTTTGCTGTTGGAATATTTTGTCTTCCTTTTCCCAGGGTTTTGAAATTCTTTGTCTACTTGTTAGCTTTCTCCACCAGACTAGGCTACAAAAAGACAAAGGCGTCTTAGTCAGTGTAGCATTCTTGGTGCCTGGCTGAGTGTATTGTATATATCAATAAATGGTACATAATATTGTTCATGAAACAGAATCTTTTAAATATTTTTATGAGAAACAGCAATGAGACAGTTTCACAACTGATTACTAGTACATTTTGAATAATTAATACATTGCATATTGTTGTCTTAGTGGTTATTCATTGTACAAGATGCAGACCTGATATCCGTCTCAAACACTGTTAGAACAAACCTCTCTATTCATTGAATTAAGAGAATGGAGCTGTATATCTATCCTGTTTTGTATACAGATACAAAATGCTCGCTCATTTGTATCCCCTTTTTTGGTTAGTTTTGTCAGAGAAGGGCATTCCATTGTCATTTAAATACTGTAGGTGCATGAATTCAGAAAAATATCCAAATATAGTCCAATAGTCCATAATAGTAGTGGGTTTTCCATAAGACTGTCCACGTCCAAAGTTATGAAACATAATTTTTATAGGGAGAAGCCTAGTGGAAGACTGAATAGTCCTGTCAAAAATCACCTTCTTTTAAGGGGCAGGTAGGAGGAGCAAATTGACTGTATGACTCTAGATGGCAGAATGAGAAATGGACTGCCCGCCAGGATGAATGCAGTGAGAATGTAGGAGATGGGAGTGCCGTTTGCCTTTGTCACAAGTATGGAATTAAAGCAGCTTGATTTATAGTTGTGGCTTGGTTATAACCATACCCATAATCATAAGACTTCTTCACTTTGCTTTTCAGTGCTCAGGTTAATTGCATAGCAACAGTTGTGCTTAATAAATGTTGTTATCATTGAATTTGAATTAATCACATTTTCCTGATGCTTTTAATGAAACCCAACTCATGTTAAATATTAGTAAGTATGATAGCTGGATGTAGTGGTACACACCTGTAATCCCAGCACTTCAGAGGCTGAGGCAAGAGGATTGCCATGAGTTCGAGGCCAGCCTAGACTACATAGTGAGTTCAAGGCCAAGCTGAACTACAGAGCAAGACCATGTCTCAAAAAGCAAGCAAACAAACAAAAAAAATGTGTGTGTGTGTGTGTGTGTGTGTGTGTGTGTGTATAAAATAACACCAGAAAAAATTCAGCTGCCTTTTTTGTCTCTCCAAAGCTTTATTCACTGTACTGATGATTCTCCAGACCCTTGTATAGAATATGAGGTAAGAAACTTTCTTGTTCCTCTGTTACATGGATAGTCCTAAATGAAGATGTGTTGAATACTGCTATTTATTCTTAAGATAATCAATGGAATTTTTTGGATTAATTTTCTTGGGTACTTAGAGACACTGAATTTCTAAATTTATGAAATTTGTCGTACATATAAAAGAATATATATACATACTTACAGAATATAACTGTGATTAAAGTAAAATCTTTGTGTTTCCCACTCAGCTGAACCAGGTTAGTTGTTAATCCAATATACCAGGAAAAATGGTCATCAATTGTCACTTTTAAAATATTGGTCATTCGTCTTACAAATAATGTACAAAGGTAAGAATTAAAAGTTAAAAGGCAAGGCCAGCCAAATAGCTTAGTGTGTTAAAGCACCTGTTTAGGCAGGTGGGGGTGCCAGGAGTTCGAGCCACAGCGTGCCATGCTGGCCCTTTCCCCAGGGCACATTGAGACAGCTGCTGAGACTGGGCATGGTGGCATGCACCTGTAATCCCAGCACTTGGGAGGCTGAAAACAGGAGGATCATGCAATCTGTGTAGTGAGACCCTTTAGACCCTGTACTAAATATAAAAAAAATACATAAATAAAAGTTAAAAGGCAACCTTATTATAAGTTTTAAGGATTTTAAACATACCAAACCCTGCTTTCATTCCATATTTTCCTAGTTTTGAAAATGTACACACACAAACACCCACGGAATGTAGTGTTTTTGTGCAGTGTTCTTCCACTGCTCATCATGAATAAACCTGTGTGTGCTTTCCTTCTACGCACGGCTCCTCACCACCACTCTGGGTTCTTCTGCACTTGCACTGGCAGTATGTTTAAGAGAAGACAGCCGTATTTGCTCCATATTTACTTTCAAAATGCTGTCACTTTTAGCTTTATAATACCAGTTAGAATCAGTAATTTTTAAAAATTCTTTGCTTCTAGACATTTTTATTATACGCATGCTTTCATAATCAGTCTGTTGAACAGGAGATACAGCCCAGTAGTAGAGCACTGGCCTAGCATCCATGGCCCCTAGGTTCTATCCCCAGCACCACACACAAAGACAGACAAGTTGTCTGCTGACTGACTGTACTGAGTAGCTATTAGTGTGGTTAATATATATTGGCATATCTTGTATGATTATCTAGCATATGTGAAACACTTAATTTACTATTTACCAGGCCACCAAACAATAATTAGATCTTAGAGCAGTTGTACAACTGAAATGTTTATGTACCATTTGTGTTTTTTCTTCTTCATTCTGTAGTGTAAGCACTTTCCAGTATTACTGCATAGTTTTTTGTAACATCATTTAAACCTATATAATACATCTATATCTCTGGTCTCATTGAATAAACATTTATATGAAGTAACTGCTATATCTTATTTGTTCTGGAAATGCCAAAGATTGTACACCTTCTGAGGCTTGATCTTTGCTGAGATGTCGTCACTTACCAAGATTTATGTAGCATGGAGTTGCTGTTTTGCTTTTGAGGAAATATGCTATCATCATGTTGGTACATAAGATGTAAAACTAGTTTTAAATTTGCAAAATGGTATTTAAGTAATTACAGTGAAAAATGTTGTAAGCAGAATGCTGTGTATATTTTTTAAATACATCTTCATGTGCTATCCTTACATATTTATAGAATATCAGGAAAGGTTGCCAAGAAATTAATAGCACTTGTTGGTTCTAAGGAAGGAAAGAGGCCCACCTGAAAGATTCACCTTATCCTTTTGTATTTTTAAAAAATTAACTATAATACACTGTATATAATTATTTTGATAGTTTATGCACATTTCCCAAAAATCAGTGAGCTACAATTTTTTTTTGCTAAATAAAAGTTATGTAGCCATTTTATATACACACGACCACATGACTTTTTTAATAGATAAGAACCATGTGATATTTTTATGTGAGTCTTCATTTATTTGTTCTTAAATTTTATGTTATATTTAATTTTAAAATGTGGCATATACAAGAAATTCACAATAATGAAAAATGAAATCAGTGCATTTTACATTTCTAGAATATATTTTTAAAAATCTTTCTTATAAAACCTACTACTAAAACTTTAAAAGCAAAAGAAAATATAGGTAATGTATCACAAAGATAAATCCTGAATATTAATATTTTGTTCCCAAATTTCCCTTGCATAATGATGTATATATGTGTAAATTCTATATACTTTGTATACTAATTTCAAGCTTTTTGAAAATTATAATGTGAGCATTTTCCCAGGTTATTCTTTTTAATATAAATTTTACTGGCTGCTTAAGTATTTGCTGTTTTACTTAACAAACATTATTTACATACCTGCTGTGTTTTACATACTTGTGCTCGTTATAGAAGGGTCAATAAAACCCAGTTCCTGGTTGCTTGCAAGTTAGGGAAGAGAGACATAGATCAGATTAGCATTGTACTGTGCAACAGGAGATGCATTCTGGACAAGGCCAGTGTGGAGAGCTGGGGACATAGAGATCTGTGACTGTTGCCTAGCAGATGTAAGACTCTGAGTACTGGAAAAACAAAGGAAAGGAGGCAGTAGGCAGTAAAAGAAGATACTGTGTCCTCCGCACAAAGTATTCAGGGAAGGGTGCCTAGAGTAATTCAAGTTCCATCTTACAGGTCTTAGAGGGGCAGAGAGGCATGTCCAGGATGAAGGAAGTGGGACTGCCAGCTGCTTACTACCAGCTAATGCTACCAAGGAAGGGGGCGCTCTGGCTGAGCAGGGAAAAGCACACCTGAACAGTGCCTTAGGAGGCTAACGCAGCAAGATTGCAATTTGGGGGCTAAACTGGACAATTTAATAAGAAAAGAAAAAAAATGTTTTTTTTTTTTTAAAAAAAAAAAAAGACAAGGTCTTGCTTTGCAGTTCAGACTGGACTTAAGCTCACTGTGTATTCCAGGATGGTCTCAGACTCTCAGCAATCCTCTTATCTCAGCCTCCCAAGTCCTGGGTTAATAGGCATGTGTCACCAAAACCAGCCTCTGTCTCAAAATTAAAAACATAAAATTAAATTAAGTCAAAGGTGCTAGGGATGTACCTCATTGTTTCCTGGGATCAGTCTTGAGGGAAAAAAGGAAGAGGACTGATTAACTGCAAAGACAAAAATAGAAAAATATATTTGTCAAGTATACTTTCCCTGAAGTTGTAGCAACTCAGTATAGATGAAAGTTTATATATAATAGTGTTTTCATTTTATTAAGACTAATTTGACCTCATACCTAGTATAATTGTCTTACTGTGAAATAATGTGAAAACCATGGAAGGATTGTATATGATTCTTTGTGATAAACTTTAATAACAGTTTTATCAGTCGGATTACTAAATGGTGCTTAAAGTGTATAACTTTGAATTTGTGTGCATGTGTGTATGTGTACCATGGATCAGATCTAGGGCATGCATATAAGGCAAGTGCTTTACCACAGAACTACATTCCCACCTTTTGAAATTATATATATATAAATGTAGACAGACAGAGAGAGAGAGAGAGAGAGAGAGAGAGAGAGAGAGAGAGAGAGAGTTCAAAAGATGAATTACAGGGCAACTTATGAAAGAATCATGGTAAGATTTGGTGTTGTGAACCATGTTAGTACTCTCAAAATTATATATAAGTTACAAAGATATATTTTTGTCCTAAAAAATTCAAGCACAGTTTACCCTTGATAGAGTCATAGATCATAGCTCTATTTCCTAAATCTTGTATTTTATGATGCCACCTAGTTTTGAATCATTTTTAATGGCAGTAATTAAATAATCTTGGGGCCGGGGAGATGGCTCAGTAGAGTAAGTGCTTGCCTGGCAAGCTCAAGGGCCTGAGTTCAATCCCTGGTTCTACAAAAAAAGAAAAAAGAAGAAGAAGAAGAAGAAGTAATCTTGGCATGAAATTGTCTTATTAGGTTTTCCTACATAATTATGTTACATTTTTCATTCTTTTCCCTTATCTACAGCTTGTTCTCAGAAAATGGTGTGAGTTAATTCCTGGAGCTGAGTTTCGATGTTTTGTCAAGGAAAACAAGCTTGTTGGTAAGTTCTTACACTTGAAAGTAGTCTTTAAAAGAAGACAATACTATTGGCTATAAATGCCAGAATTTCATTTTTTTAAGGCTGAAAAGTATTACATTGTATAATACACAAATTTGATCATTAGACATCGTATATCTCTCAAAACATCATGTTGTACAATTATTATGTGTCAACTTAAAATAATACCAAAGAAGACAACTTTTTGATGGTTAGCACATTCTAGTAATAGGATAGGGTTGTCCATCAGTTTTAATCTGAGGTCCCACCTCCACCCAGTTGGTACTGTTTGAAATATTAATGTTGATAAGCATCCTGAGCCATGGTCACTTTCCGCAGAAAGAGGTAGTTTTGTGAATTAATTACATCTCTCTAGACTTGAGAATGCAAGTGATGACTGTTGCCACCCCCACCTCGGCATATGTGTGTTACCTGCTTTATGTTTGAAACTTTGCAAATATTTACAACTACTTATTATAAACAGCATAAAAAGCCAAACTGTTGAAACTTTATTCCTATTGTTAGGGTACTATTTAGTTTTCTAGCAAAAGAAAGTATGTGGATAGATGAGTAAAGCTCTCTGTTATACATTTTCTTTCTACTTGCATTACTGTTCTGTTTGCTATGATTCATATAACTTAAATATTGAAGTTAATTTGTTCTTAAATTTTTGTCTTGCATATTTTCTGTGAAGGCAGAGTTACATGTATAAAAAAGAAACAGCAGTATGAATATGCCAAACATATGATAAGGAATATTTTAAATTTCCCCCAAAAATACGGAAGAAAATACCTATTTGTAGAGACTTTATATGTGCCAATTTTAAGTTGTCACTTTTAGGTCTGGCGATATAGCTCAGGGGACTAAGGACTTGCTTAGGTAAGCTCAGGGGCCAGGGTTCTATTCTTGGCACTGCATGCCACACCAGCCCCACCCCTGGGAGTGCTGAGCCTGTAATGGAGTCCGGGCATGGTAGTGCATGCCTATAAACCCAGCACAAGGGAAGCAGAAATCAGGAGGATCTAAATGAGTCCAAGCTGAGTAGTGAGACCCTGCACAAAAGAAAGAATAAATTGTCACTTTTTCACATAACAAACCTTTGTATGACTGATAGGTTTTTGACTGAGTCACAGCAGAGAAACAGGCAGAAGGAAAAATGGAAAAGAGTTTTTATTATCTTAGAGGACATGGAGAGAATCTGGGGAAGATAAGAGATTCTCTGAGAAGGAACGAAGGAAGGTTGAGGCTTTTATGGCCTTTTGCCATGGGTGGAGTTTGAGGGGGCCGTTTAGATATACCTGAGGAGCTGATTGGGGTCTTCCCTGAGTCAGCGGGAAAGGTGAAAGAAAATTGCCCCTGGGCTGAGTTGGAGAAATGGAGAGGTGGTCTCGGGGAAGATAAACTATTGTTTTAAGGGCTTCAGCCATATTAGATAACCACCATAATAGTTCAGCAACTCATACTAGGGCCAGAACCTGTCAATGACCAAATTCTTCTCGTTTTGCTAAACAAAAAAGAACTTTCTGAAAGTAAGAATGCATAGTAATGTGGAACTTTACAGTATTTGTCTGATTAATCTTCTGACCTACTGTAATGGTTTTCTTAAAAGTTTACATCACGTTAACATTTTTTAAGAGGATATTGTATAATAATAGAATATAAAATATTTTCTTATCAGGCATTTCACAGAGAGACTACACACAATACTATGATCACATTTGTAAGCAGAAGGAAGAAATCTGCAGATGCATACAAGACTTTTTCAAGAAGCACATACAGTATAAATTCTTAGATGAAGATTGTAAGTATTCTTAGAACACATTCCAGTGAAATAAAGTAGATGTGTAGCTGTGCCTTATTTTACTGTGGTACATAATTTTTAAATTATGGATTTAAATACTGTATTTGAAGTACTAGTTGACATTGCTGGTGGCTTGCATATTAATTTCACCTTACTAATTACAGTCTATTCTTAATGCTGAGGCAGTTCTCAGTCCTGCATTCTAGATGTTTATAGATTTGTAGAGTCCATCTAGAGAACTGCGTGCACCTCCCTTTCTAGCATCTATGTTTGAATGATAAGGACAGTTACAAAGTAAACCTTTGTAGGGCTGGCTAGACAGCTCAGCAGACTACACTGCCTGCTTAGGCAAGCTCGGGGACTGGGGTTCAGTCCCTCTCCTGTGTGCTGTGCCAGTCCTGGCCCCAGGGCACACTGAGACTTGAATGAGACTGGACACGGTGGCATGATCCTGTAATCCTAGCACTTGGGAGGCTGAAAAGAGGAGAATCACTACAAGTCCGATCTGTGTAGTGAGACCCTGTACTAAAGTACATTTTAAAAAAAAAATCCTTGAAGTTGTTTTTAAGAATTGAAAATTTATGATATATAAGAGAATTTTCTTATATCTTAAAATTATATCTGTTGTGATTTACCTTTTTCCTTATTTGCCAAGACTGTGTTCTTTGGAAAATTTGATTTTTAAAAATGTGAAGCATGCCATCAATGTGATTTTATGCTTTTGTGTTAATAGACTTTACTTATTTCATTTGCCAAGTAAGTGGTAGGAGCTCCCTTCACAAGTACTTTCCCCAGTGACAGTGCCCTTCATTCCATTGCAGCCCATTATACTGGTGAATTGGTTGAGATTTTTTTTTTTTTTTTTTTTAAATTCAGGCCCTTGCACTTGCCAGGCAAGCACTTATTCAACTGAGCTATCTCCCCAGCCCCATAGTTAGGGATCAAAAAAAAGCAAAATTATATTTGAAACATCAGTGCAAGGTACATGTTTATGATTGAAGTTTTGAGATTTAGAATTTTAAGTACCTCATAGTCAAATATTTCACTGTGTTTAGTAATAAAGTATATTTTAACTTTCAAAATTTGCATCATGAAAATATTTGTTCACTAGTAACTTAAGATTTTTCTCTTTTACAGTCGTATTTGATGTCTACAGAGACAGTAGGGTAAGTAAAGCTGTACTTGATACATCTAAAATCGGGGCTGGCCTTGCAAGCCCAGTATACAACCACCATGTGTAATGGTCCACTGCTTAAAAATAAGTCCTCAAATCATCTAAGGCTTGTATGATTCATAGTGGCCAAGTATGTCATCTTGTATAGCTACCATTGGAGATATTCCAAAATAACAATGTGCCACAGGTTTGGCAATTACTAATGGCACAGGTGGGCAAATGACCTCCCCTTCCATTCTTCTTTACACTTTTCTCAGAGGTCTAGGCCCATTTCAGATAGTTCATACACACTTGCATGACCAGGAATCTAGTATTTTGGCAGTTATTTTTAGTCAATCACAAAATTCTTAGCATGATTTCAGTCACTTTCTTCTTGACACTAAACAAATTTACATTTGTCTTTTTAAATGTTTCCTTAATAAATTTAATTTTTAACTTTAAAAAATGTACATTTATGGAACACTTTATGATATTTCAATGCATATGCAGGGTAATCATATCTCCTGAAATATTTATCATTGCTTTATGGTGAAAGCCTTGCTTACAGTTCTTTGAAATTTGCAGTCCATGGTCATTATCTGTAGTTACCCTGCTATTCAGCAGCATACCGGAGCTGCTTGCTCCTGCTTATTAACTTGGTATTCATGGGCTACCTTTCCCATCCTCTCCCCAGCCTCTGGGAATGACTGTTCTGCTCCCAACTTAGACTTCCCACATAAGAGAGATTGTGTGATATTTTTCTTTCTGTGCCTGGCTTATTTTACTTAACATTCTGATCTTTTGTTCCATCTACGTTACTCCAAGTGACAAGGTTTCATTCTTACAGCTAGATTTATCCATTCATCAGTTGATGGACGCTTAGGTTGTTTCCATTTTTTGGCAACTCTGAGTAGTCTGTAGTGAACATGGGAGTGTAGCTGTCTCCTCGGTTACTGTTTATTTCCCTCAGATACACACCGGGCATACAATGCTGGATCATATGTTAGTTCTATTTTTAGTTTTTTGAAGAACCTTAAAAACCTGTTTTCCATGATCTCTGTACTAATTTCTGTTCCTACCAATAGTGCACATGGTTTCCCTTTTCTCCACATCCTGTCTAGCATCTTTTGTATTTCTGTTCACAGCCATTCTGGCTAACTGAGGTGATAGATGCCATCATATTGTGGCTTTTGTTTACATTCCCCTAATTGTGACATTGAACATTTTTTCATGTATCTGTCTGTTGCCCATTTGTATGTTTTCTATTGAGAAATGTCTAGTGTTCTTTAAATCTTTTTTTTTTTTTTTTTTTTGGCGGAACCAGGGATTGAACTCAGACCCTTGCACTTGCAGGGAAGCACTTATTCTACTGAGCCATTTCCCTGGCCCCTAAATCTTTTTTTTTAATTTTTTTTTTTTTTTATGAATTTTAGTACAGGGTCTACAGGGTCTCACTACACAGATCAGACTTGTAGTGATTCTTCTGTTTTCAGCTGGTATAATACCAAGCCCTGGGATTACAGGTGCGTGATCTCTGAATCGCTGTCTCAGCATGCCCGGGGGAGGAGGGGCAGGGCAGCTGGTCCCAGCATCTGCCTAAGCAGGTGCTTTAATCCACTGAGCTATCTGGCCGGCTCTTGTTCTTTAAATCTTAAAAGTGATAGAAACTTCTACAATGAAGGAGAAAAAAGCCAAGACATGTAATCTTTTCAAAGAATTTTAGGTTGTTGAATGTTGTCCTATGATCACTGCTCACTGATGAGCTGCTTAAGATAATAGATGTGCTCTCTAGTATGCTACCAGTACACATGCTTGTCAGCATTACGTTGATGCCTACGATACCTTTGGGTCACTTTTTGAGCAAAAGGCCATGGCCCAGAACAACGTTAACTGTTCATTAAATCAAAAGAAATCACTATATTTTCACTTTTCTGTCTTGCAGGATGATGGTTCCTATTAAAAAGGTTATAAGATGAGATTACACAAAGAAGAGTGAAACTTAGCAAAGTTTCTGCTATGTGGAAACAAACTACAGAACAGGATGGGATGCTGGTATGATGGAATGGACAGACCAGCTTTCCATTAAGAGTAGTCGGTGTCTACTTACTCAGGTCACTCACATAACCAGCACTGATCAAGTGTCTTTAGGGTGCCAGCTACTGTACTGCTATAGGAAGCTTCAGACAGGACCTGGGACCTTGAAGGAGTTTATAGGTAGCAAAGCAAACAGGCCTGGTGGCAGGCAGTATCAAGGCAGTCAGTGGGAGACTCCCAAACCCATTGTCTTGAATATGCCCATTTCTCAGAGGGGACTGTTCTCATTTAGTTCAGTATTATTGGAGGTTATTAATGAAACAGCTGGGTACATGACCCCCTTCCATCCTGTGAGGTGTGTGTTATCTGCCCACACTGTACTGTAACAGAGGCAATTGTCTCATATTTTGGCAGTTGAAATATTGGCATTTGCTAAGATGTCTCAGTGTTTCCCTGGAACATGTACCAGTCTATTGTAGTTCAGTAGGGCTGACAGGTAGATATAGATGTTTAAATTGTAAAGTAAAAGTTAAAGAATGTTAGACATGCATAAGTAATTACTGTTATATAATCTTGCAGAACTGAAACTTACATTTTTACAAGTGAGAAACATGCCAGTACAAACATCCTGACAGTTTCTGTTAACAGATTTAAACCATATTGAAAAGCTCATTCGCATTTACTCAGTGGCACTTGTATGAATATGTGAGACATTTTCCTGAATATATTATTTTTGGCTATTCATGTAGAAAGTTCTCCTTCCTTTGTATGTGGTCTGTTACCTGAGCTGTAGCTGAGTTGTGCTTAGACTTGGCAGCACAAATGTCTACTTTCCTACTGAGGCCAGGCAAGCTGACTCTATCGATGGCTTATGGCTCAGAGTGGGGCGCACATTCAGTGATCCAGGATGTGTAATTGGAAGCTGCATTTTAAGAAGTTACTTGTATTATGATAATGCACAGCAGAATTTTGGATGACTTTCCTAGATTCTTGAGCATTTATACTGCTCGCCTTTTGTATTTTTCTCAGTTATAACTGCTGTTAATCATTGTTAATCTGTTTACTTTTTTGGACTAAATATATTTGATCCTGATTGTGGCATTGTTCAGATTGGTTTCACATCTTGGTGTATCTTGTAAATGTTCCATGTGTGGAAGTCCATTTTCTGATGTTTGAAGCACTGCATAGGGGTCTTTAGGTTAACTTTGTTAATAATGTTAAAATCTCCTATATTAGATATATGAATGATGTTTGAAGGTTCCTTCAAAGTAATACACATTCGGGTACATTCAGGTAGGTAGACGGAAAGTAGGTGGAACAAGATTGGCCACGGATTGAAAAGTGTTGGACTGAGTGGGGGAAAAGCGTTCTTTATTCTGTCTGCTCTTGAATATGTTTAGGCTTTTCTATGCCCGTCTGTTATTGTCTTGTTTTTTATTTGCTTTCTGTTTTATACTGCTGGGAACATAAGGGCTCACTGATAGCAGCAACATACTTTCAACTTTTCCAACTTTAAAAACTGAAAAAAAAAATCTTTCCTAATTTTCTGTGTACCTAAGTTACTGGTTGTTGAAAAAATGATGTTAAAATCTTTTGCTTCTGATTTTGTTGGCTTTTGTGTAATGTGCATTGAGGTTATATTCTTGGTTAGGTTTTGTTTTTGTTGTTGTTGTTGTTTGGTACTAGGGATGAACTCAGGACCTTATACTTGCCAGGCAGGCACTTGGCACTAAGCTATCTCCCTAGCTGTGTTCTTGCAAAATGCTGGTAAAGATGGTTTCATTTTCTGAGTGAATTCTCATCATAGGCAGGGACCCTTTGAATTCCTAGTAATAATATTGCATGTCTTACCTGAAAACATTTTATCATAATACAGAGGGGTTTTTTTGTCTTAGAATTTATCTCTATCCTTTTATCCTGTTTTTTGTTTGTTTGTTTGTTTGTTTGGTTTGTTTTGTTTTTTCAGAATCAGGGATTGAACTCAGGCCCCTGTGCTTGCCAGGGAAGTGCTTATTCTACTGAGTCATCTCCCCGACCCTTCCTGTTGTGTTTTAAGTGTGGGCATATATCTTATAAATAGCTTTATTTATTTTTATTTATTTATTTTTGAGACAGAGTCTCATTTGGTAGCCTAGGCTTGCCTTGAACTCTCCATCCTCCCATTCTTCAGCCCTAGGTACTGGGGTAACAAGAGTGTACCACCATGCCCAGCTGTAAATAGCATTTTGCTGTTGTTGTTTTGGGTTTTTTTGTTTCGTTTTGGTTTGGTTTTGGTTTTAATCACGAACAATTTCTGGTTTTAACTGGTTGAGTTGGGTTTATATTTATTGTACTTGGTACTTTTTCCAAAACATTTTGAGTTTTATATTTGTTTTTATTTATTGCTTTTTTACCCCTTTTGTTTAGATTACTGAATTTTCTTGCCTCTTTCCATACCTCTCCCCCCATGATTTTGATGTTTTATTTCTGTTACTTTGATAGTTACCATTAAATCTTAATGTGAATCTTTACTAGAAGTTAATTTCACTTCCTGTTGTCCTCACAATACAAGGCCTCAAAACGCTCTTACTTTCTAACACCCACACTTACCTTGGGGGGAATATATGGTACCTCATGTATACTTTGTGTTGCGGCCTCCAAATTAGTCATTAGTGCTCATGTTGGGGTTACTTTTCACTAGTGCTTCTTCCCTCTGACTGCACTCTAGAACTGTTGCTTCATTTTACAAAGATTAGGCCTTTGTGATTAGTCTTTATTTTTAATGAAATAAAGTTTTAATTTTTATTTTACATATTTATACATAAAACTTTCAAGGAATCCTCTGAATCTAATCAAATGTTAATAACACATGTAAAAATGAATTTCAGGTAGTCACCATTAACAAAAGGTTGAAAACTGATTAAAATATATGTATTATGGAGAGCTAACTTCAAAGCAGGCATATATTTTTTTACTTCTATGGCACCATCATTTACAGTT